AGCCGTTGTTACTGTAGTGTCATGACAACATTGCTTTACAGTAGCAGTGTCCAGTTATTAGAGCAAACACTATAAACCAGATTCAACATGGCAATTATGAAAATACACAGAGCATAGGGCAGTGTACATTTCACAACTACAAAAATTTTGTTAGCTTCACCTAGAATTAAAATATCCTACAATGTAAAATTTAGTTGATAGAAAGTTAAGAGAAGTATTTTTTCATATTGCAGTCATTATCAGTAGCAGTCAATTTACAAAACCAGTTTAATCACAATGAGCAAACATTAAGAAGGAATCATCATGATCCCACCGAAGGCATTTTTGTAACTCAGTTTCTGTACATTGATGACTTCTGCAAGGTGTCATACTTTGTGTAGTTATTAAGATAGGAAAAGCGTTGCAAATGTGTATTTCTGTCCCTTGGTTTTTCCATTGTGTGGTACATATAACTAGCAGCTATATCCATTGACATTCTCAATCTTTATTGAAATATTTTATCCAAGTCATGTAAACTTCCTAGAAACTGGGGGAGAAGAATTCTGTTTACTTGAATTTGCAGCAGTCATTTGTAACACTGGCTTTGATTCATTTTGCTGTATTTGTGCACCTATCTTCTGTTCAGTGATGGAGACAAGTATTGTTTTTTATAGTCTTTTACTAATTTCTTGATTGATATTTTATTTAAACTTCCAAGCCAAAGTTATTTTTTGGATAGACATGCCATTGCAGGACATAAAGTTGCATTATTTATTTGGTTTTTAAAACTTTTTAGTAAGTTCGTGGTAGGCACACTGTTCTATTTCTGTCTGTTCTGTTCAAGGACACAGAAGAGCAGTGTGTCCTAGTGGTGAGTGTAACAAGGAGGAGATTTTGTAAAAGTGGAGTCCATTTTGCATGGGCACAAGCACATGCCAATGAGTGAGGTGATGCTTGGCAGGGCATGAGAGCTGATCAATGAAGAAGTGAGGTCGTGCTGGGAGAGGACAATGTGTGGGGTTTCTTCAACTCAGTATGGTCACTTAGTTAGCGAAAGATAAATGTAAATATTTAGGGGATTTTGAAAACCACCTACTCAGTGTGTCTCTTCTTTTTATGAAAGTAACACTAATTCATTGAGAATGTAGTCTTGATGAACCTGGGATAAATGCCTGGATTCTGGCTGAGCCTAATTGGTTTCCCACCCCGTAATATTACCCAGATATACCTGAACACATGCAGAGCATAGAGTCATGTTGAAAGGTTATCTTTCAGCTCTAACATTTGGCTAACTATATTAAACCTATCTAATAGAGGATACAGTTCTGTATCAAAAGATTTTCTGCTGTTAATGCCCCTAGCCCACCCACTACTCTACATTTACACAGAACAGGTACAACAGAAGTAAAAGCTAAGTTTATCACATCAGAAGATTCTGGGTTTGCATACTGTTTATAGTAGAAGCATTAAAGCACAGTGTATGGATATGAAAATATGAGGGTTTTTCTTTCACAGGTAGCTTTAAGCATCCTTTAATGTGAAAGATTCATTTTCAGAAGTAAAATTTTAATTTCCTTTTGGGGAGAGTGAAAGACTCACTTCATGCAGGCTGCAACTTTCCCACCACCCCTCTCTTTGGTGTGTTTAGAACATGTCAGATGGGAGTTGTCATGCCTCTATTCTGCATATAAATGTTCAAAAATGTGAATAATACGAATAATAATCCCACATTAATGACAGCTGACTATGGACTGATGTTTTGACTTTTCATCTTTTGGCATTATATATGAAATATGTAACTTCTACCTATTTACAGAGAATTAAAAGGTTGTATGGTTTCTTCATGATTTTTTTTTTCTTTTTGTGGCAGAAGAGTAAATCCAGACTGCAATAATCATGACATGCTTACTGAGGGAAACAAGTTACCTAAGAATTACTCTGGAGAAACATCCTTCATAGGAGAAATTGATAAAGATACAGGCTCATTTCTTTGTTTTATTCTAATGGTTTCTCTTCTGACTTTGTAGTCAACTCACTTTGGGCTGGATTTTACAGGTGTAATAGATACCCAAAATGTACCTAGAGGTGTATCTGTCTCACAGTGTGACATTAAATTCGTAAGGGAAGAACTCTAAAAGGTGAAATCAGTCTTGCTTTTCCTTTTTTTCATCTCTTAGCTTTTTTGTCAAATTTGACTTGAAGTCTAAACATTCTTTTTTTCTTTTTTTTAACTTCCTACAAGAACTATTATATGAAATGAGAGGTTATGTTAGTATATGTAGTTTCTGAGGATGTATGACTTTGACTGGAAGGAAAGCATGTTGGATGCTCTTCAGTCTTGTTTGGAAACAAGAAAAGTGCCAGCTGGAAGTTATTCTTGCTGGAGAAGGCCACATAGCCTATGCCTTTCATGTCCAGGAAATCTCAATAGCTTTAGCTCCAGTGAGCTGTACCCTGACTTCCAGTACATCTCCCTTTTGCTGTTCCTTGGACCTGTGTGTTACTGATAAAAAAGAAAAGAACGCTACTATGGTCTACATTTCCTACCTTGAAGAAGGAACAGTCCCAACAAACCCGTGCCTCTTTTAGCAGCTGGCTGTTTTTCTTCCGGCATGTTGAGATGTAGGCTCTGCAGCTTCACTGTCAGTGAACACACTACTGGGCTCTGCAAGGTGCTTTGATTGCTGTTGACTGCAAGATGTGTCTTTGACTCAGGAGGGCTTACTCCAGCAGCGTGTGAACGGTTGTTCTCAGGGCTCCTACCTGACTCTTGTAAACTCCTGTCTTACCACTCTATCATTTTAGCCCCAGCTCTTGGTCATTTAGATCTTGCCTTGTCACCTTGTACTTAAATTACCCCTACTGTTTATGAAATATCCTACTGGTCATAAAAATCCATCATGCTTTATAAGGTGGCTGGTGCTCTAATGCAACAAATTATTTTAAGAGCTGTTGAAAATATGGAATTCAGATCAAATATACTCTAAATTATTCACTGTCTCACTGGTGATTAGTGAAGTAGACAGCGATGCTGTGGTGCTTATGATCTACTTCAAAATAGGTGTAAATGCAAACTTAAGCTTATTTTCCATTATAGCATCCTCAAAATCATATGAATGCCCACTCAGCTTTCAAGAAAACCCCAAGAACTGTGTGGTTTCAGTCTCAGTCACTACATCTATCCCAATATAAATATCTTCCTAAACATGCCTGGTCTTGTCTTCTTTCTGTACTCTCATCATCTTATTTTCAGGGTAGAGTCAATGTTGATTATTTACTATCTGGTATTTCTTTTGGTCTAAGCCTTCTGAGAAACTAGAACAAGAATTAAAAAAATCTACCACTTCTTCACAAGTCAAGTCTTTGGCAATGTTGACTGTATTCCCCCAATGAAAGGGGTATTTGTGCCAAGAAAAAATTTTTGTTTGTGTTCCCAAGTTGTAAATGAAGTATTTTCTGGAAAGTGATTTTCCCAGCTGTGCACTAATTTTTATAGAGTGTCTGCTTTCTGGTACCCCACTACTGTCACATGTTAAGTTAAAGGTTATTCCACAGTTCCTTGTTTGCCTTTGTAGAAACAGTAGGTTTGTGAGAAGTTTCTCTGCAGTTAAATCCTTCACTTCAGGAAGGGAAATCTTTAATAAATATAGTGAACTATTTTGGAAGTAACCCTGCTATTTGGGATGAATAACCATTAGAAAACATAAATGCATGCCAATAAAATATCTACAATACTAGAAAAAAGCATGTTGTTAAGATACGCTCAAACCCCAGTGGCCTCAGTACTCATGTATAATACTTTTCTCTGGTGAGTGCAGGTTATAATCCAGGGATTGTATGCCAGTCTACTTTTTGTCATTGTCTCTGGGTAATAAGGTAAAATTCTGGCATAGGCACATGCACAGCAGTAACCATCCAGTTGTGTTTACCTTCTGAAAGACTTAAACCAAATTTGCGCTGAAAAGCTCTTACGGAGATACTGGAGGTCTGCAAATGATGAAGCCAGCCATGCAGACGTGGTTTGTCAGGTCGTAAAGCTTTTGTTGCCCAAAATACATTGCAAAATGAAGAAAATGCATATATTACACCAGAGTATACATATAGACTAGCTATGTAAGAATAATTTGTGAGACTAAATATTGTTTGTCTATCCAGTGTTCTGATTATAGATAAGGTAACCTTGAACAAATAAAATTTCAGAATAGAAGGGAAAGCCTTTGGCAACATCACTTCTCAGATGCACCCAGACACGTTTACCTTCCTTAGGAGCGCATAGGTGATTCCCCAGTTCTAATTCAATGTAGGTCAGAGCAAACTGGAGAGATTATTTTAAATTACTTAAGTTTATAGCCTCTTGCTCTCCCAGCCTCCAGTGGAGCTCATTAACAAAAGCCATAACCAACTGTTTTGTGTGTGAATTTTCTTTTAACTCACAAAATCTGTGGCCAAGGGATTGGAGTCCACAAGCTTCTGCACAGTTCTGAACAGAGGTTCTGCAACATTGTTTAGAAACTCTTGAACTTATGTGCTGGTATTTAATGAATGTTTCTGAGAATACCATGTCATTTTAGAGGCTGAGATGCAGGAGTTTATGTTATTCTAATGGAAGTTTTGTATTCTCACTGGTTTTTTTCTGTTTATTTTAATGTTTCTTCAAGTTCATTCAATCATATACTACTAATAGAAGAGACTTTGTAGCATTCATTTGTATTCTATCAGCAGAGGGAGAAGTGATGCAGAAAAAAAACACTTTTTTTTTTTTTTAATGCATGTTTCCTTAAGTAACATTTGTTCTGCTTGCTTCTTCCAAAGCATCATATGACATTATCTGCTTAATTGTCACTGTTTTATTTCTCTCAGAGTTATTCTATGCAATATCGTTTACATATGTGTTATCCAGTAACTTCAAAATGGCTTAAAGTGGTTGTTTTAAATTCACAGTTATGTGAAATTGAACATTGAAAAGCAGGGGAGATTTCTGGAATTGTGTAAACTAAATTTATGCTTTTGTTTCACTGAAGTTTCAGACCCAGAGCTTACGTCTCTCAGACCTGCACAGAAAGTCTCAGCTGTGGAGAGGGATAGTTAGTGTTACCTTAATAGAAGGTCGTGAACTTAAGGCAATGGATGCAAATGGGCTAAGTGATCCGTATGTGAAGTTCCGACTGGGGCATCAGAAGTACAAAAGCAAGGTAATTTTAGCTGTGACGAAAATGTTTTTGAAATGCTTCGTTCCTGTTTGGGTTTTTTCACCTTTTATGACTTTCAGTAGTGATGGAGATACATTAGTATAATAATTAGTTTTCAGAGCACCTGGAGCTTTATTTAGTTGTTTCTTTTAATTTCATTATAAACAAAAGTACTACTAGATAGGAAAAAATGTAGCACTGAAAAATTTGGGTATACCAGGGGGCACACCTGATGTTCCATACAGACTGTGTTGGCTTTTATTTCATAGAATCATAGAATCATAGAATCAGACAGGTTGGAAAGGACCTCTGAGATCATCAAGTCCAACCCTTGATTGACTACCACCACAGTTACTAGACTATGGCACTAAGGGCCACATCCAGTCTCATCTTAAAAACCTCCAGGGGTGGAGAATCCACCACTTTCCTGGGCAGCCCATTCCAATGCCTGATTACGTTCTCTGTAAAGGATTTCTTCCTAATACCTAACGTAAACCTCTCCTGGCAGAGCTTGAGGCCATGCCCTTTACTGATAGTTGCCTGGGAGAAGAGACCAACCCCCACCTGGCTACAGCCTCCTTTCAGGTAGTTGTAGAGAGTGATGAGGTCTCCCCTGAGCCTCCTCTTCTCAAGACTAAACAACCCCAGCTCCCTCAACCTCTCCTCATAGCACTTGTGTTCAAGTCCGTTCACCAGCCTGGTTGTTCTCCTCTGTTAGGGTCATTCATCGGAGGGGAGAGATGCAGAGTGATTGTGATAAGTACTTTACAGACTTGATGCTGGTTAGCTCTTGGATCCTTTGCATGTCTTATCCTCAAACTATGTCATGCTTATATTCTCACTTTCCTCTTCTTTATGTATGAACTTCACAGGTAGAGAGGATTGATCGGGAAGACAATTAATGTGGGGACTTTATTGGCTTTCTTGCTATTATTTGTCTATTCCCCTGGTCCCTACTGTTTTGAAAATTGCTGTTTATGGAAGATGCTTGACCTGCCAATGATGCACGTGACCTTCCTCTTCCAGTGGCAATGATGGATGCTGTGGTTTTCACAGCCAGACGAAGGAGAAATTGAAGAAGAAGGCATGAGCATTTAGTTGCCGTATTTGCAGAGCTCTGAGCCTGCATTAGTGCCTTCTAATCTGAAATGAGAAGAAATCAAATTTCATGCTTTTGTGAATTAAAAATTTTCATAATCCTCTCTGAATTTTCCATTTTTTCAAGCCAGTAGAACTCGTGGGTGTAAGAAGTAGGGTTTCCTTAATAGGGAAGGTACTAGGCCGTTTCTTGCTCAGGACAGGTGTGACTACTGTGAATATTGCTTTTGCTTTTTGGTAGAAAAATCTGTAAGCTTTCTTTTCTGCACAATGTGGTCAGAAGTACATGGACTGAAATCCATTGAAGTCAGAAGTAACTGGACTGAAGATGACAGAGAAAGCTACTTTCATCTGAGTTTTAAATGAAAGGAAGTAAAATATAGTTTTGGAAAAAAACCAATTTTATTCCATACAAAGTAAACCATATTATCGTATTTCTACCAGTATTGCTGCAGCTGGGGAAAAGGACATGATAAAATTGTTTGTTTAAGTACTTACAGTCACCATCTACTTGTCATTGCAAGTGCTTTGTTTTCCTTTGGGCTTAGAGACACAACTTTACAGCTAAAGGTAACTTAAGAGAGGACATAATTATTCTAAAGAGAAATGGCTCCATTCCCAGGGTGAATCCTTTGTTTAGGAGGCTTTTGAATGTGGACAGGTTGCAAGGATTTTGGAGGTTGCTGTTAGGTCAGAGAGACGTGAGAAAACTGGCCAGTAGTCTTTCCTAATTACTATTTTTTAATTCTCCTTGCTTGAGATACTGATACTGCATATAGAAAAAACTTCCTGAACAAACCCTAAAGATTAAATTTACAATTCAAGAAAGTATGTGCCTACACTATGCAATATGACTTTCTTTTTTGATCTCCTTTCAGATTGTGCCAAAAACTTTGAATCCGCAGTGGAGGGAGCAGTTTGACTTTCATCTCTATGATGAACGAGGTGGAATTATTGATATTACTGTGTGGGACAAAGATGTTGGCAAAAGGGATGATTTTATTGGCAGGTTTGTGCAATTCCAGCCTTCTTGTTCCCTGATGCTCATTAAAATGAGCCTTGCTGTTGGAACTATTTCTTATGACCATTTGGTCTTGGTTTTGTTGTGTGGTTTGTTTTTTTTAAAACTTTGGGGAGGATTTTCTGCAATGTACCAGTACAGTTTGCTGCATTGATGTAATTCTTTACTTTGATGATATAAAATAATTTTTACTGACCAGTAGATGGCAGCTTTTACCAATTGATAGATTGAGGTTTTCAAAAATAAAAATCCCCCATTTAGAGCCATTACCAAGATGCAGGAGGTTCTGTGCAGCAACATTCAGTTTGGAGGAGAAATAAGTCTTTTGACTTTTAATAGATGTACAAGACCAAATTTATGTATCAATCTATTTGGTGAATGAAAATAGAGTAATGAAAGACTACACTGCTTTAACTAGGACATTGATGCTGTTAACTAGCAAAATTAATTTTTTTTTTGGTGGTTAAAATCAGGAATGGGAATCCCACTAACCAAGCCATATACTTTGTTGTCAATATGGCAGTGTTTCTACTGACCTTTTCCTCCCTCTTGTTCCATTTAAGGTAATGGCTTTCTTTGTCAAATTAGGTGAGTTGAATAATATTCTGTGTTTATTTCTTACTATAAATTCTGCAAACTCGGAATATGCACAGAGTCTGTGTCAAGCAAACAACTTTAATATCAATAAAAACACTTCTCAAAATTATACACAGTAGGATTTTATTTTATATCATGAAACTCTATGACATATATGGTATCACTAACTGTTTTTCTTAACTAATGTAATCATTTAGTCCTATGTTGGCATATCATATACCTTGGGAAATTACTCCCATTTTCTTCATAATTTTATCTTCTTATCCAAAAGATGGTGAAGCTTTCATGCGTGATTTTTTATAACACCATCATCCAAGCAGCACTTGCTAAAATCTTACTGCTCTTGATTTTTGTAACCTCTCTGTCAGTGTATGTATAATCCCTCTTCAGTTTGTCCTTTCAGGTACTCTCTCATTTCACCTTCTGTTGGTTCCTTATCTCTGGATAATGCAACCTGCAAACAAATTCCTCCCCATAAAGATTTCCTTGAAAAACTGTCATTTGTCAAGCTCAATCTGAATACAAAAGTAGGTCTTAATATTTCTCCTCTCTGATATTCTTTTCCAGTCATTGTGGATAAAAATCACCAACACCTGAGAGCTCCACTTAACATTGACCTCTCTTTCCCAATTTCTCCTTTAAAGGCTGCCTCGAAAAACTGGAAATACCTTAGTGCACACACTACAACTTTCTCTTTGTGTGTGCATGTCATGATAAGTGTAGGTCAGTTTCTAAAAGCATGGCTGACTTGTGCTCCATGACTAAGGCTCTATGGCTCTCAAGGCACAGGTATATTTTAATTCACTTTTAATTCACATAATTATCAGAAGAAGTGATAATGAGGCTGTGGGAAGCAAAGATTTCCTGGTAGCATTCTAGCAGTGGTCAAGAATGGAGGGTAATTCCTTTCACCTGCTTGCTTGAATAATGTGCATGCAGCAGCTGTAGTATTATATAAGAATATTTCTATTAAATGCAAATGAAAACAATTGTTTCTTGAAAATGTCCTGCCTGGCCAAAGTTTAATTAGGGAGGAGGCACACTTGATTGAATAGATCCTATTCATTGAGGGAAAGAACAGTCCAAACGGAGAAAACAGAAGAAAAGGTTTCCCAGGTGGAAGGTTGAAGGCACAAATTTCAGGATCTTCATGGAAAATTACACAGGAAACCTTTGTTTTCACTCTGCTGAGCTCAGTTATCTGCAAATGCTATTCCAAATCAGAATACCTTAAACTCTCCTGGAGTGATACCATATCTCAGCTGCACTTTTGTGAAATAGAAGTAGGGAGTCAGGGACATAGACTTCTGTGGGCCTTGTATATCATTGTTTTGTTAGGCTGGAGTATGATAAGGACCAGGTGAAAGCTGGAATTGCAACACAGTAGCAGCAGCATGTGCGCTCAGATTGCAAGGGCTTGGGCCTGCTATACATTTCTGAGGGTGAAAAGATGCAGGCTTCAAGAAGCCTGAAGATGTGGAAGTGAGATTCTGGTTTTGGGGTGATATAACAGGAGAACAGAAGTGGAAGGGGTGGCTTGGAAGAGGGAGGATGATGTTGAGAGAGTGAGCGTAACGGCATTGCAGCCTAGTTTACAAAAGGAGAAGAGAATGTCTGTCGCATAGGCAGCATAAAACTCTGCCTTCATCTTGATGCCCACGCACGATCAACGTGGCGGTTACTGAAATGAAAGGCTGACTGCTTGATTTCCATTCTTAACTTGGAGCTCTATGGGTTTATAAAATTCAATTGAGTTTCAGTTGTGTGCATTCTCCATGAGAGTTTAAAGAGTGTAGCACCTTGCGAACTTCCATCTTAGAATATTCTAAAAAATCCAAAACCCCTAGAACCAATTCAATGTTTATTTCGAGATTTCAAAATCCTGGGAAAAGACCTCATTCAAAAGCCTTGAGGAAAATATATTTCCAGTCATGTGCTGGTTTGTATGAGAAAACACTGGTCTTGATCGGAACTGAGCTTCATGTTACAGGAAGTGAAATACTGGCATTCTTCTGAATTTATTTTTTTTAAAAAACAACCAGCATTCCAGGACCAAGTACATGAGGTCAGAAGTTCTTTTTATGGAAAGTACCAGGAGCTAAAGCCCCACAGCATTCAAATAAGTGTGTAGACTTGCATAAGCAGCATTATTCTTTGCTTCAGCTGATAAGTAGAAATATATATATGTGTATATTTATATTGTACAGTCTGAGTACATTTAATATTCACATCTTTTTGCTATGAACAAGTAATTTATGGTCTGTATCATCAATATACTCCTGTGATTAAAAACATACACTGCAGTAAGGTTATGTAGGTAACATTAAGATCAAAATGAAGGTGAAGTGATTTTAATTGTAATGTAATTATTTAACTTTCTTATCATTTATGTTAAGGCGATTCTGACTGTCACCTTTATGATAATCAGTTAATAAATCCTCATGATTGTTACACCTTTGTGTGTAGCAGTAATCTGAACAAATTGGCTGCTGACAGCTGCAATAAATTGCCAAGAATGAGTACTGTCAGAGAACAAGTTGTTTCTGTGAACATACAGGATAAGTAGATCCCATGTCATGCAGTTTTATTCAGCTGAAATTATTTGTGATTCAGTGCAGTAGGATTTATAACATTATTTATTGGTATGAAAAATATGTATTTATCTTTAAAATTACATTGACTTTTGCTCTTATTTTTTGCAAATTAAGAAAAAAAGACCTTGTGTATAGTGTATTCATTAAGGCTATGCATTAATTTTATCTGTAGCAAACTGAAATTTCCCATCTCTAAAACTAAAACTCTCTAAACATTGTCATGAAAATTCAGATTGATTTTGTGACCCTCCATATAATGGATGTTATGATATACAAAAGTTAAAATATTGGAAATTAAGTATTTAGGTTTTCAATGCCTAATCTGCTATGTCTTGTCCACTTAGTCTTTTCTCAGTTACAAAGGTATAGAGTTGTGGGTGTACATATAGTACAGGTTTTTGGATGTACATAAATACAATCAACATGCAATTATGATTCTGTCATTAATCTGAAAGCACTGGGATATGCTACCAAAGTGCTAAACTAAAGCAAGATTTTATTTTAAAAATATAAAATTATAATATTTATGGTTTGAGGGGTTTTTTTCCACAGATATTTACGTAATTTCACTATGGGAGAGTGATCATTGTCAAAGAGAACTGAGTGATGCTGTAAAGCTGTGTATGGGTACTCCAACATGCATATAAAGCTGGGTGAAGGGCACACTAATTATGCTACTGCAAGGGTTTCTTCCCAGATTTTTTTCTAGAGATCTTGTGGAGACTGTAATAAAATATCAGCAATTTTATTTTTTAAATATTTTTGCCCAAGAGAAAGGCTTTGAACAGTGTTTGTGAAAGTCTGTATTAATTTTGAAATTCCAAATCTTGGAAGTTTTCTCAATTTTGCAAAACTGTGTAGACAAGATCATTTCCCCTGGAATTATAGAGAGTGCGTTATTATACCAATCTTTCAAAAATGTTTTTCACATAGTAGTTTGAAAATTTCTGCACGTTGAAGTAATGTTGGAAGAATGTATTGTATTAAAAATGTAAACATAATGGTCAATATGCTGTTGTAATTTGAGATTTGAACTCTGTGTGTATGTGAATTACACAGCAATTCTGTGCAAACACAGACAAGCATACAACCAACAACCTGAATGTGTAATCGTTTGTTGATTATACATGATGACTAAAATTAAATTATTGCAGTTGAATTTCTTGATGTAAGATAAAGCATTAAAATCTAAAATTGAAGCATTAAAATCTAAAAATGCTACTGCCAGGCCTGCCCTTGAAAAATCCTACGATGTACTGAACCATCTCAATTTCTGATTGTTGTCAAAAGGAGCTAGATGGAAATACTACGTCTCAAAATTTGGCCTTCAGGTATTCCACCCCTTAATTATTCCTATCTCTGCACATCTTTACTAATGCAGGGGCACTTCTGTTCTGTTGGAAAGCCAAAAAAGTTTCAGTTTTGGTTCACAAATCTTCAATAACTTTCTTCTACTGGATACTTTATGATTTAAAACTCTTACTGACAGTTGTTATTGTCACATTCTATTGTGAAATTGGTAGTATTACCCAACATATTCTGAAATACAAAATGCTGCATATAAGCTGGGCTGTTTATGGATCCTTCTTCTGACCCTATGTCTTCCTGCATATGGAAATGTACTATTTGAGGAGTGGCAAAATAAGAGGAAGAGAGAAGGAAATATGGAATGGGTGCTTAGACGAAGAACATGACAGTGTGTAGAAAGTGGTGAAGGGTACAAATAAGGTTTTGTGAGGATTTCTAAAAGGCACAGATTGTAGCTGTGAAAAAGTCTTGTAAAATTTCTTGGACCAC